AAAAAAAAAAAAAACAGGAAACGAATCATGATTTTTTTTTTTTTACAATCAAACAAATAAACATGAGCCGATCAAAAATTCCATTATTAACTTGAAAATGATTTGCATTGACATAACTAAATAACGCGATAGATGTTTGAACTTTATGATCATCTGATCGAATACAATCATTTATTAGTGGTCAGATGGATTGTTAGTTAGCTTTATAAGTTTTGATTTTTGATTCATACTCTTTTTTTATCCGTTCCCTTTAAATATACAACAGTACTAGAGTTAGGGAGGGCCTAAGGATAAAATATAATAGGTAAGAGATGTTTGGCGCACTCATTTAAGAGTACAATTTGACGTTGGATGGATTGGCATGATACCGAATTCATATGAGCTTGTAACGCGATTCTGCTGCTCCATAATTTTCCATATACAGGTCTGTATCACGTAAGACTTATTTTCTCATCTTTACGTCACTAATATACGATGAAGTTATAGAATTGCACTAAGTGTGTTACTCATGATTACCTTCATGAAAATTATAAGTGATTAGCTGAGTTTATAAATGATTGGGAATCGTTTACATATTTCCCAAGTCTCATATAGATAGCCGGGAAATCTCTAATTTTAGTTTAAAATAGTTAATTAGTTACGTAATCACATGTTATATACTTATGTGACACGCTCCGGGAGATTACCCATTTATTCATTTATTTCATGGGTAGGGGAACACTAAAGTTTTTTTCATTCGGGAAAAACCCTATTACCCATGAAATAAATAATACTTATATATACTTTGGAATAAAGTATTGGTAATTAAGTATAAAGTAGTGGAATTCATGACTTACAATTGATTTTTATTATTATTATAATATAACGTTTAATATAATATTAAATAATGATCTAAAGAATTTTCAAATCAATTTTTAATGCAATATAGCTTTATATTATAAACTATACTTAATAATATTTTTTGAATTTTATGTATCAGAAAAAAAAATACTCTTGTCTAACAATAGTATGAACTTGGTTTTATTTGATTGTTGGTTACAGCATTCAGCATATTCAACATAGAAGTATCTGTTCCTGGCATATTAAGAGTATTGCAATGAGTGTGCTTCTTTCTTTCAAATTTTTCCGCGTTTACTCAATCAAGTGGCATGCTTATCTGGCTTATATCAGAGGTCGTCACGATTAGTTCTCTGAGATAATCGGAAGATGAAATCACATTCATGTCTTTCAATATCAGTGATACCTAAATTAATTAATATTGTGGAGTTGTACAGTATATACCCTAGTTGGGTTGGGATTGCGTATTATATCAGTGCTGCCGTCTCCTACTTCAATATTGAATGTTGCATTATTCTTCCTTTCCAGATACGTTATAACGTCAGTCAATTGTCCTCGCACATCTATCTCCAATTCATCCACAAACGGTGGATATATTTGGAGGCACTTTCCTAAGCTTCCACTATGTTGACCAGCATGAGAGTGATAAATTTTAATAGCTAGGTAAAATCATTATTGGCTGAGCCGGCGTGATTGAATGAGGTCCTAGAGATCTATAACTTCTCCATTATTTAAACGGACTCTGGCAAGTTTTTTTTCCTTCTTAAGATGGATTTTGTTCAAGTAAACGATCCTTAAGAAGGTCTTTGCTTTGGTTTTATAATGATATTAAATATTAGTATGATGAAAGAAGTTGGCAGAATAAATCAAGCAGTCCTTATACTTTTATCATTGTCAACTAAAAATCATTGTCAACTAAAAAAACAATTGAATTAGGTTGACTGATTTGGCTATCATCCCGTTGAATTGATTCTTTGGAGTATTTCTCTCATGTGTCGTTTTAAAGTTAAATTTATGGCTCATATCAATTTTCATGTGCTATCATTTAACGATAAAATTTTAACAATTCTGATAAGACTTTACTTTTTTAGAAATCAATATTTTCTTTTTAAAGTATATAATAAAAATATAAGATGATCGATGGAAAAAAAATTGGGATAAAATCTGATCATTTATATTTATTTATTGTTGTTTGTTTTAAGTATTTAAGACCGATTATTATTATTTTTTTTACAAAAAGTTATTTTTAGAAGAAGGACGATTTTATTCTTATACATTTACTTTCGATTTCATACCTTTTTTTTTTTAAGGATCGAAATGAAATACGCGTTTTCTTCGAATCAAAATTGTATCTTTATTCATGTGTATGTATATACAGTATATAACTATCAGGAGAAGATCCGTTTTGTTATTAAATAATTATATTTAAATATTTAAATATTTAATGACTTTACTATTTAAAAAAAATTGGAAAAAACCGGAACAATAAATAATATATGTAACGAGTATTAAACTTACTTTGGGCCTGGTTAACAATTACTCCACTGTCAATCACCTTTTAATTTTTTTTCTAATATTTTGTTTGAGGTTACATATTAATAATTACTAAATTAGGACAATATTAAAAAAAAAAAAGTTATTATTTTTAATATATGTTAAAAAAAAAAAAAATTTATATTTAATTTTATAAAAATTACCATATAGATGATTCCTGTCGACGAAACGTTTATCGGTGGAATGAATTGAATGCATCCCATTATCTTTATTGCGTTGCGTTTAATCTATGTACTTTATTAAATATTACTTTATCACACAAAAAACATTAACATATTTCAAAATAATAAAAACTTTTATTTTTCAGAAAATCGAAATGATTTACTAGTAATGGAATATGCTGATGGTGGCTATCTTCATAAATATTTTAAAAATAAAATTTAAATACTTTTTTTGGAAGATTAAATATATCTTAGACACAACAATTAATCTGAACTATATCATCAATATTTCGAAATCTTTCGTTCGATGAACTCTATAAATCTAAAACGCTATTATTATTCACAACCTTTTTCATACTCATAATAATAAAATTTACAAGTATAATATTGTTCCAATATATGCTCAATTATAACAAAAAGAAATATTCAATAAGGTGAAATAATCAGGTGATGCTACCAGGTGATGCTATCAGGTGACAAGTTCATTATAAAGCCAATAATTTTATAAGAACTTATGACTAGTATCTGCAGGAAAAGTATTTATAAAATTAAAATCCCCCTCCACCGGACAAAAATAAACTTTAATAATTACGAGTAATAGTAAATAATATATGGTTTTATAACTATTGTTCGACATTTCTAATTCTAATTTATAAATGAATGAAATTTTTTAAAATTTGGTTAAAGGAAGTAATAGGAATTAAATGATAAATTAAGGAAGAGTAATAAGAATGAATTTTTGTATGTAGCATAGTCAAAGATTGTTATGATTTGACCATTTTTGTTGTCGATAAATTTTCAGAGATATCGTTTCCCAACATCTAAAGCAAGAATTCTTTATATGTTGAGGAATCTTTAGGGCAATATATATATATATTATACTTTATATCGCAATAGCGACAAAATCTACATTTGCCACAAGAATTCTTCTGACTCTTAGTTTCTCAACTTGATTATAGTAACTTCGCACATAGATGATTGAATATCTAAGGAGAGAATGGAGAGAATATTTTAGTAGACTATTAATTAATCAAAGTAATAACTAGAACTAAAATTCAAATATTATTTACCATCACACAACTAAACTACCATCATGAAAAGGTAGCATTATTCTTTTCTTTAAACGGTATGTTTAGGAAATTTTTTTTTAGGTCAATGTAAGGAATTACACTGAATAAATAAAATGAAACCATAGACGCTTCTTCAATTCTCTGAAAATCAATCACCCGACTTGAACTGGAGTGCTATTAAAAAAAAAAATAAAAAAGTAAAAAAATAAATAAAAATAATATAAATAAATACAAATTTAAAATAATTAATTTCAACAATTATTTAATGAATAATTACCCAAATCACGATGAAAAAAATTCTTTAAATTGATATAGCGTGAGTAAGCTCGTAATGTTAAATTATATTTATTTTTACAAAAAAGATCGTTAAAATTATCCTTTAAATATTTATAAAGAAAACCACCGTCAGCATATCCCACTGCTAATAAGTAATTTTTCAATTGTATCATTTGGATTTTCTGAAATATAATAATAATGAGAAAATTTTATTAGTTGAAATTCATCAAATCTTTATAATAATAACTTATTATTACAAAATAATTTGTACCTTTACATAAAAATTTTTAATCTCATAAAAAGAGGTTAAACAGAATTAACGCTCACAATAATCAACGCTCATAATGACGTTTAATCTAATAAATTATAAAAAAAAATGATTTTTAGTCAAGGTTTCAGTCAAAGAGTTCATTCAAAAAAAGGCACAAACAATATGGTGAAATATACTGTACCTTATCATGCTAACGTAATATATTGTAGGTATTTTTAATACCAAATTCTTGCGAATTTTTTCTTGAATTGCAATGTAAGAAGTAAAGAATAATTTAGAGTTGCAGACATTTATCAAGTCAAAGGTGAACGACATATTAACTACCGAATTAACCTATATGACTTATGTTATTTCATGTTCTTATGTCTGCAACCCTAAATTAGATATACGTGGGAAAGTTTTAAATGTACGAAAAATAAAACGAAAGATTTTTTTTTTAAATTTTTTTTTTTTTTTTTAAAAAAAAAAAATGATTCCTGGATCCTGGTCACTTGGATCACTTGATCACTAAAATCTGAGTAACATACTATATTTATTGAACATTTGGTTAGTGTGACTGTATTTTGATCGAATAGATAATGTAGGTCAAAAAGTTGTCCTGATCAGAAGACCTGCAGTAGTATAATAATATTTCCAAAAATTTCATCATTTTAACAATTTATAAATTCATATTTATTATCATCACACTATAAACCATGAATAGTAATAATCAAAGTTCTTACAACATCTCTATTACTGTACTCTCGCGGACCCTGAAATTTTGGACCAAATATACTTCGATAACGTAATTTGCAAAATAATTTGAGAAGATAACAAAAAGATTACTAATTCATGTTTTAAAGAGAAAAAAAAAAAAATTTTTTTAAAGTTTGGTTACGACGGCGTTTAAAAACTTGTTTATTGCATATCTTTCAATGATAATGAACATCCAACCTTTCCTATTAAAAAGAAAAAAAAAATTAGAAAAAAAATTTACCATAATTTAGCTAGACTAATATCAATGAAAAAATAAAAAATAGTATTATAAGAAATTTAAAACAACCAGTCATATTTTAAAGTACCATTTTTGGTCTCATTGAAGATTAAATCGCTAACCGGATCGTACGCGATAATAAATATATAAATAAAAATCTATAAACAAATCAATTAATTTTGCGGTTTCATTTTCATTATTCATCTCCGATTATTCCGATTACTTTTTCTTTGTTGTTATTTAATCTAATTACTAAAATATTATTATTTATATTAAATAAAATATATTGAAGCTATTAATAAAGAATAAAAAAGAAAATTCTTTATAAATGCAATAACAGATAACGCAAATTGATAATATAAATTACAAAATGTGTGTTGCGAAAAGAAAATATTCTTTAAAGAATCGCACTGTTATAGAAATGAGGCTCCCCAATTCCCCAATACTAAAAACACTTTTGGATAAATTATTTTCAATCAGAAAAAAAACAAAGAAAAAAATGGTGCCACAAAAATAAAAAGATTACCGGTTTCAATTCAATTCATCAAGATAAACATCCTGTGATGAAACGTTAATTAAAATTTGATTTTTTACCGTTTTACCATTTGTTCCCATCACAATGATCAGCGATAATATTTTTTTCGTTCATTAGATGTGCTGTTGAGCTTATCTTCAAAGTCTCTTCAGTCTCTTCACGAAATTTATTCCTTTCTCGTTCGCAGTTCGCTCTCTGCTCCTGTTTTTAATTGATCGATTACTCGCAACAAATGTCTAAAAAAAACCACGAAACGATAAATCAATCCATGTGAAACAAAATCGTAAGATAATCTCTGCATAACAATTACATTTGTACGGCATATAATAAAGCCGAGTTTCACATTTCTTTTATTACCAAATAAAGTAAAACAAATACCAGAGCATCACAATAAGAACACCCGAACTAACTACATCATAATAAAAAAAAAATTGACTTGAAATAAAATTAAAAGATTAATTCTTTTTAAAGAGTGCCTTAATAAATCATCAAAGTTTGTAAAAAGTATAGTGAGCGTCGAAATATCCATCTAACGTGTCGCAGACTCGCAGTAAATCCTGATAGGACAACCCGAGCAACGTTATGATTATCGGCAAATCATCACATCCGTTAACAATGGGTATGATCTACTATTTCATTTTATCAAACTTTATCATTTTATTTTTTAATATGATTATAAATTTTAATTTCAATTTGTCTTTTTTTGATTAAGATTCTTTAACAAAGAAATTTCTACGTTTCATTGGTTCGTTGTTGTAAGTCGTACCCAGTGTTTGTTGTACGGCAAATAAAATTCAACTTGAATGAATAACGTTTTTTTGTCATTTTTTAGTTCCAATATATGGAAATTGATTATTTTCTAATTCAGTGTTGGCGTGAGAAAAGAAGTTTTGTTCATAATCACATATGATCGATATGCATCAAAAAATTAAGAATATTATCGTGACCTTTGAATTTGTGGTACAAAATTCATACATGGGAATAATGTCTTATCAATAATTTTATTATAAATAGATAGAAAAAAAGTTTTCAAAAATTTTCCCTTTTCTTTTTTTCGTTAAAAAAAATAAAAAAATAAAAATAAAATAAAGTACCAACCGAATAATCCTATATTTAAAAACCGACACTGTGGTTCACATTTTTTTAAAATTTTCATATATACCATTTTTTACATTTTCTAATAAAAAACATGTCTTCTTCTTCTAACTATGAATGCGTTAATTGGATTGAAGAAGCTATTTCGAATAAGTATCTTGAATATTATAAATTCGAGGAGTTCAAGAATATTGAATCGGTTGGTACTTGCGATAATGTTGGGACTACTTATCGCGCTAATTGGAAAAATTGGAGGCAAATTTTCGGGTTAAAAAATCTTTTTTATATTAATGACACCACTGTTAAGGAACTTGTTAATGAGGTAATATTTAATAATTAATTAGTATTTGCTAAACCTTTTGGCCCGTAGGTTAGAATACTCTTGGACTAATAATTTATTTTATTATTAAAAATTAGCTTAAACTTCATCGTAAAGTTGATTTTCATGATAATATAATCAACTTCTATGGCGTAAGTGAGGCGTGCTCAGGTAAAGTATAAATTAATCTGCTATTATCATAAAAAAAATTTTAATTAAAATAAATAATTAACATTTTTTTCTTTTTTTTTTAATTTAGGTTCAGGTATTAAGAAATATTTGTTAGTAGTGGATTATGCCGACTGTGGTTCTCTCAAACAATATTTGGGAGATAACTTTAATAAACTCACTTGGAAAGATAAATTCCAATTGGCATACCAACTGACTAACGTTATGTCATACTTACATTATGAAGGAATTGTGCATCGTGATTTGGTAATTATTTATTCAACTATTATTTAATTGTTAATTAACTTTTTATAATTTACTTACTTATAAATTAAAATTATTTATTTTAATTAGCACTCCGGTAATGTATTGGTCCATCGGGGTAATATCAAGTTGGCCGATCTTGGGTTGTCGAGAAAGCTTAGGGAAGCTATGTCGATTAAGGAATCAATTGATTTGGTTCCTTATATTGAACCAAAAAGATTAGCTGACCAAAAGTACCCGATAGATGAAAAAAGCGATGTATATAGTGTTGGCGTGCTATTATGGGAGATATCAAGTGGAAAACCACCTCTTAACTTTCTCCAAAAAGACGGGCCTTACAAATTAAATAGCAATTTTTTAGCACTGAAAATCTATCAAGGCCAGAGAGAGAACATAGTTCCTGGTACCCCTAAAGATTATTATGACCTTTATCAAGGTAAGATTTTAATCACGATCATTGTTTTAAATTTATTGATATTTTACTTAATGTGTGTAATTTTTTTATTAGAATGTTGGGATGGTGAACCAAATAAACGACCAACTATGATAAAAGTTGCGGAGGAATTAAAAAAAATTATTATGAAATGTAATTTAATAAGTAATATAATTTATAATATATATTTAATTACAAACCTCGGGAAGGGGAAGAGGTTTGATGCGTACGTTCTTAATTATTTTAATGATAATCAAATTGAACCAAAAGCTCTCTATAATTGGCTATTAAATAATCAGCCAAATTCAGATTCTATTTTTTTATTAGGGTATTTATATTATTATGGAATCGGAGTAGACGCTTCTTACGAGAAAGCGTTCAATTTATTTACATCAGAATTAAACCACACATTAGCATTATATTATGTTGGACTTTGTTATCAAAATGGACATGGGGTTGAAAAAAACGAGAACTCAGCTTTTGAATATTTCGAATTCTTGGCCAAGAAAAATATTGCCATGGGGCAGGTTAAGATAGGCTATCTTTATAAGCGCCTTAAACGAGATCAAGATGCTATTTATTGGTATAAAATAGCTGCAGAAAATGGAAATCTTATGGCAATGTATAATCTTGCAAATAAATATCTTGGTTTGAAAGATTACGAAAATGCTATTAAGTTTCTCGAAAAAGCGGCGGAAGGAGAATATGTAGAAGCAATAAATGCATTGGGATATTGCAATGAAAATGGACTTGGAACTATGATTAATCTTAAGAAAGCGGAAGAGTTATACACCAAGGCGGCAAAATTAGGAGATTCCAAATCTGCTAATAATCTGGGTGAAATGTTATTTCAAGATAGCGATGAAAATAAAGAGAACTTGGCACGGGCGATTATCTGGTTTAAAGAAGCAGCCGACCTTGGGGATGATGTTGCCCACAGGAATTTGAAAATTTTAAGCCAAAATCCCAGTGTTCTCGAAGACCTTAAAAATTTGGGTGAACAAGGTTGTAAAAATAGTGCGATAATGATTCTGATGGGGATTCCATAAAAATTAGAGCTGGTTCATCAAATAATTTATTTTATATATTATATATTATTATTATTATTATATTATAGAAAATTATAAATGTTAATAATAATTAAAAATTAAATAAAAAATTCCTTCAATTCTTAAAAAGTTTTTGTTACATTTACATATATTAATTATAAAGAGGAGTTAAAAAGTCTATTATATAAAATACATGACACGTTGGTAAATACTTGTAATACTTGTAGAATTACGAATTACGAATTACGAATTACGAATTACGAATTACGAATTACGGATTACGAATTACATTACTTCCTTACGCTCCCACTTTGTACGATGAAACTGACAAACTAAAAATTAAATTAAATTTTAAACAACTAATTAATAATTCAATATTGAGGTTTCGCAATCATTCCAACATTTGTGTAAACAATGTCTAAAATGAATTCTAATATGACGATTAACATGTTCCATTCGACAAAATACTCTAAAACAAGTATTACATTTATATCTATATACATTCCTATTACCATTTGTTACTAAAAATTTAATAATATAATTTGAATGAATATTATTATTATTTAAAATAAGTTCCAAAGGTTTTCTTTTCTTTTCTTTCCATAAATCAAAAATTTCTTGATCTAAATTAGAAAAATTCCAACTACCAATTAAATGAATATTATTTAAATAATTAGAAGAAGATTTTGTAGCTAATAAATATAAAATTGATTTTGCTACCGTCTTATTAAGTGGTATTATAGCATGAATAATAATTTTTCTTAATTTTTTACAAGATTTTAATAAATCTTCAAATTCTTTTAAAGGAATACCAGAAATTAACCATATAGGTAAAACTTCAATATTTGGACATATCATTTTAATTGTTTGAAGATAAGATAAAATTGAAAAAGATGATAAAGAAGTTGAAGATCTTGTTTTAAGTAAAATATTAAGAATTTTAAGAGAACCTTGTGTAGTTTCTATTAAATTAGTGAAAGTTGATAAATCCTTTTCTCTAACATTTATTAAAGAAAGAATTTCAAGATTTGGTAAAGAAATTTGATTAAAATTTATATTAAAATTTTCATCATCATATAAAATACGAAAACAAATTTTTAATTCAATTAAATTAATAAAAGGTGAAATTTTTTGAATAGGTAAATAATCACAACTACAAAGTTCAAGAATTTTTAAAGATTTTGAAAGATAATTAATAGAATCTTTGTTAAAAGGAAATATTTGTCTTGTATTATGTATAAATTTTAATTCTCTTAAATTTTTTTGTGAAAGAATTAAATTATTAATATTATTATCATCATTAGAATTTTCTATTGTATTATCTAAACATAATACAATACGATTTAATGTATGAATTTTTTTTGATAATTCAAGAATTAAATCTTTTGGATAAGATGAAAAAATTTTTAAAGTAGAAATTGTTGAAAAGAATTTTTTTGATTCAGGATATAAAAGAAGATTAAAATTTGGCATATCAAGTGATTTGATTTTTAAACATCTTTTCATAAAAAATGTCCAAAATTGTTTATTAATTTTTTGTTCAATTTGTTCATTATTATTATCTTCAAATATATTTTTGGTTAAATTATTAATTGCTCCTGCTGAAATTACTTGAATATATAATATATAATCAAATAATGGTTGTTGTTGTAATAAATAATTTTGTTTATGATTTTTTAAAAGAATTGGAAATTGTTTGATTTCTTGTGAAAAACATTTTGATATCGTTCTTCCAATAAAATTCCAGTACATTTGTTCTCTTAAATTAACACTTTCCAAATTAATATTTATCCATGGATCTCTCCATAATATTGGTACAATAAATCGAAAAAATAATCTGTTTGTAAGTAAACATGAATATAATGATTTTTTATCATTTGAAAGATATTCCAAGATTTCTCTAATACAATCTTCTGTAAGTGACATTCTTCTAATTTTGTTTATTTCTTTTAAGATGATGAAAAAAAAAAAAAAAAAAAAAA